ACAAAAACTGGATTTTTTTTTTTTAATGATTATTTGGGAAAATGCTCCTTTTCCAAAGAGTCCCCTCTTAAGGAGGCAAAAGTCAGAACTGAAATGCTTGAGGCCTTGATCTATCCTAAAGCAGCAGTAAATGGTTTATACATTTAACTTTCATCTTTTTCCCCTCTGCTTTTTTTTTTTTTTTTAAGAATTCCATCCCTCTGTAAAGGTTTTTTTTTGTGCCTGTTTTAAGGAAGACACTAATTCAGCTGCTGGAATTGGACTTAGCTGCCCATGAGTGCTGATGTTTTTTACGCTGTGCCCCCAGCAGCGAAAGAGCGAGGTGCAACTGCTGGAGTCCTCTGCTCAGGCATGTAACCCCATTTAAGTCAATGAATCTACTTATGTAACAAATACTTTCATAAGGGCTTAAAGGATTAGGCTCCAGAATTGTGTTTTTTCAAATGCATTATCCAGGTTTTTAGATGTATTAGCTGCAATTCTGAATCAAAAAACACTGATATTTATAATGTAGTATTTCATAGGCTTAAATGTATTCATAATTTAACAGTGCAAATACTAATGTACATATTGTACAGTTAAAATTTTAAAAGCTGAATATTTTTATATCCCCGAATTTGAAGAAGTTTGTTACAATATCAAACTAGATTTGTTAGGGGTTTAACAGCAGCATTATGGATGAGATATTGCTTGTATTTTAGTCAGGAGTTTTAAGCTGAAAAATATTGAGAAATGTTTAGTGCAAAACAGCTTAATTTTGTCTACTAGGTATTGAAAGCTCTGTATGCATGGTGGGGCTATGTAAATACTCTCTAAACTATGGCCCTCTTAATCTTGCAAGTGTTATTTATGGGTCAAACAAAATGTAAACTATATAAATGTAAAAACCACACGAGCCTGGAATATATCAGTACAACAAATATGCAACTCCTGTAGATTTTTTTTATTATTGTTCCCCTCCTTTCCCAAAAATCCTTTCTGAAGTTCGTCTACATAAAGGGAGAGAGATGCTGGGTGATTCTAGAAGGTGAGATGATAAAAAACTACGATGTAGTAGGTAACCTCAGAAGTTGCCTTGAACTCCTATGTGGAGCAGGAGCTATTTTAAGTTATAATAAACTTCTTCCAAGGTTTTAGATAAAGGGCAGAAATTTGTTAATTGAATTAACTGACACCCACCAATTAAGACAGTAAGTGCTAAAGCCAGTGGCTTTCTGACCACCTGAAGAAATGTAGCTAATGAAATAACAGATGCTTCTTACCAAAAATCAAAAAAGGTATTCTTGAGGATATACAAGTTTTGGAATAAAAGGAGCTCTGAGTAGGGGATGGAATGGACAGAAGAGCATTGGCTTACACCAAAGAAAATGAAGCTATCGCTAAGGTTAAATCAAACTAGCAGTTACTTGCTTGTGTTTTTTGGGGTAAAATAAGCAAAAGATCCTTTACTCCCAGAGGTGGTATTCCCCATATAAGTCACTTTTCTAGTACAAACAAGTCTTGTGTACATGAAAGCTGATCAAAGTAGTATCATGCTACACTGCACGGGCCCAAGGGCGGCTCGTGGGACGCTTCCAGCTGGCGGGCTGCCGCGGTGGCTTAGGCAGTATTTGCTTCCCGAGCAGCCAAATGCCTGTTGTGCTTCAGTACGTTACAACCACCAGACTGCCAGGACTTAGAGGACTTGAGGAGAGATGCCGACTTGTTACTAATGTGTTCCTCAGGATGCTCGAACAAGGCTTGGAAGGGGACCTTCCATTCTTACCTGCATTTCTGATACAGGGAACCAGAATCCTCAGAAATGGAATGCTTTGTCTGCTTGCTACTGCTGCGTCGTTTTTGGAGCAAGTCACTGTCTTACAGAGAAACATCTCATGGAGAAATGTCTCCACCAGTAGTTCTTCTGATCTTGCACCATCTTCTGAGATACAGTGTATGTACTCTCCCAAAGTGCAATGTCTTATGGAGCATTAGATGAGAAAAGTTCTCCATAGATTGTTAGTTGCTTCTTACTACTTCTTTTTAAAAAACACTTCAAGACAGACTCGAAAGCATGTTGCTTACAAACTATATTCAGAATTAACTTTCACATTACCTCCCTCTAAACCTCAATAAATGGGTTGAAAGATGTATCTCTTTCCTCATGCTCTCACATGAAACCGAATCATAACTTAGGGCTAAAGGTGGCATTGCTAGGGCACTGGGAACTCTCTGCTCCAGCAATGGCTTCAGGTACTTTAAAATGGGTGATGTAAATAACGACGCTTCCCTCCTCCCAACAGGCAATTTTTATACTGTTATTTTTCAGCTGGAAGCTTTGGCAGTGGATAGAGCCCTTTCCTTGTCCTCAGGTTTACTCAGAAAGAAGTTAGAGGCGTGTTTGTGCAAGGAGGCAATAAACCTCCTGTACATAGCACTGCTCTCCCTAAACAGCAGCAATTCTTCCAGCCTGAAGAAGGAGCTCTGACCTGTTTCCCCCCCAAGACCAGGCTCAGCCAAGGAAGGTATGGTTTGCACGGCATGATGCGTGGGGGAGCAGTGCTCCAGTGTTGTTGCCTTCCAGTGGCTCAGCAGCTTGTTCGGAGCTAGTTTAGATACCTCTGCTCTGAGGAACATTCATCTCCCTTACCTTTGCCGGGCTGCAGGACCACAAGTAATCAGGAGCATCAGAAAACATTTAGAAAGCTTTGTTTTGCTGAGGAATGGACTGCTAAGAGACGTTCATGTCAGGGGAAGAATAACAGGTACTTGTAACCACAGTTCATGAAAGAGAGGCTAACTCCTATTTTCATCCACTTTAAATGCTAAGTTTAAAGATAGCTATACAACTTTCTTTAGTTTTTTTAGCTTGACATAAAATATTTCTACTTCGTTATTTTTGACCACTTCTTAGGAGAATTATTTCTAATCGATTCTTCCATCTTAAATATAAAGAAAGAGTGGTACGGGATATAGTGTCTGCTTCCAGCACAAGACTCAGAAACAGTCCCTAGAGCTGTAAATTCTGTTTTATTATAAGTAGTACCTATATTCCAAGTGACACTTATACCCTGGCAGGAACCTAAGCGTCACATAGCCGCTCGCTCACTACCCCCTTCAGTGGGATGGAGAGAGAACTGGAAGGGTAAAAGTAAGAAAACTCATGGGCTGAGATAAAGACAGGTTAATAGGTTAAAACAAAACAAAACAAAACACCAGTTGCTCACCACCAGCCAACTGATACCCAGCCAGTCCCTGAGCCATAGCAGCCCTGGCAAACTTCCCTGCCTCGTCCTGACTTTATTGCTGAGCACAACATCATATGGTGTGGAATATCCCTTTGGTCAGTTGGGGTCAGCTGTCCCAGCTGTGTCCCCTCCCAACTTCTTGCACACCCCCAGCCTACTCGCTGGTGGGGTGGGGTGAGGAGCAGAAAAGCAGTGTGTAAGCACTGATCAGCAATAACTAAAACTTCCCTGTATTATCAGTGCTGTTTCCAGCACAAATGCAAAATACAGCCTCCTACTAGCTACTGTGAAGAACACTAACACCCTCCCAGCCAAACTCAGTACAACCTTCATAACAGTGAGAAATATGAGGTCTATACATTACCCTCAGCCTCATCAAAAGAGGAAACCTCACACACAAGACCGGGTTGCAAGGAACTGGTCCTTCTCTGATACATGGTATTAGCTTCTTTCCCATCTATAGTGGTTTTACTGCTGATTTCCACTCTTAACTACTTACGTTGCCACTCAAAGCTGCCAGCTCACCTGAAGAGGTTACAGATCTGCTCAGCACTGCTTCAGCCTTGGCAGATAGCACTGAATTTCCACATTCCTTTCCTTCCTTTTCCCTTTTTATTCTTTTAAGGGTATCTGCACATTAAGGACTGCTAAGAGTAAGGATTTTTTTTTTTCAGGAGCTCTTATGGTGACAAAGAAAATAAATTCCTCCAGCACAGCATCTGGTTCCTTCCACCAGTGCTCTTCCTACCCCTTTCCAGAAGCCCCACAGAGGCTGTCCACGAGAGGAAGGAGAACTTTTTACACTGATATGAAATAAATCCAAAGTGTATGTCTTGTTTCTACAGGAAGCAAAACTAAAAGGCGTGTTTCTTGCTTAAAGGATAGGCATAGTATTTTACTTACATCAACAGAAAGCATACATCACAAAAAGTTAAATGTGAACATTGAACATAACAAGTATTAAATGGAAAAACCAGTTACCTATCACTCATGAATACGAGTTAAACATTTCACAGAAATAGCACTTATAAAAAATTCAAAAGGCTCCTTAGTTCATGAGGAAAATTTAATCCATATGAAAAAAAGAAGTCAGATTAAGCTAAGGACAACCTAAGACACTGTTGAAAAACCTCACTGACCTGTTAGCTAATCTAAAAAAGCCAAGAATATTGGCCGATGATCAGGAGCAAAGAGTTACAGTAAAGGGAGTTACAGGCAGCCAGTCACCAGCTGGGTTCCCCAGGGCTCAATTTTAAGGCCAGTGCTCTTCAACGATTTTTATAAATTATACAGACACAGGAGTCGAATGCACATTAAGTAAGTTTGCCAACAATACTAAACTCTGAGGAGCTGTAGATCCCCTCGAGGGTAGAGACGCCTTGCAGAGAGATCTGGATAGACCAGAGAGCTGAGCAATCACCTACCGTATGAGATTTAACAAGCGCAAGCGCTGGAATCTCCACCTGGGACAGGGTGATCCTGGTTATATGTACAAACTGGGGAATAAGAGGCTGGAGAGCAGCCCCATGGAAAGAGATCCAGCAGTTTGGGTTGATGGCAAGTTGAATATGAGTCAACACTCTGCCCTGGCAGCCAAAAAAGCCAACCGTGTCCTGGGTTGCATCAAGCACAGTGTAGCTGGCTGGCTGAGAGAGGTGATTGTCCCACTTTACACTGCACTGGTGCGGCCCCACCTTGAGTACTACGTGCAGTTTTAGGTGCCTCAATACAAGAAGCACATCATTAGAGTGTGTCCAGAGGAGGGTGACCAAGATGGTGAAAGGTCCGGAGGGCAAGACTTAGGAGGAGGGGCTGAGGTCACTTGGCTTGTTCAGCTAGGAGAAGAGAAGGCTGAGGGATGACCTCATCAGATTCTATAGCTTCCTCAAGGTGGGCAGCAGAGGGGGAAGTGCTGATTTCCTCTCTCTGGTGACCAGGGACAGGACACAAGGAAATGGAATGAAGCTGCATCGGGAGAAGTTCAGACTGGACATTAGGAAAAAGTTCTTTTCTGAGAGGGTGGTTGGTCACTGGAACAGGCTCCCCAGCAAAGTGGTCACAGCACCAAGCCTGTCAGTTCAAGGAGTGTCTGGATGGTGCTCTTAGTCATATGGTTTAGTTTTAGGTAGTCCTGCGAGGACAGGGAGTTGGACTCAATGATCCTTAGGGGCCCCTTCCAACTCAAGATATTCTGTGATTATAAGCTTAGGTCTTACTTTACAGAAAAACACTTGAAAAATCAGATACTTTTATTGTAGTAAATTTAATTGAGCTTCGAACAAAGGAGACTCCTAACAAACTGTACAGTAATAATGGACATTTTTAATTAAAAATATATTAAACATAATTTCAGTATTTTTTCATTAGCACTTCTAACCCAAAGCAGAAACTCTGATGCAACACCCTGAAAGCTCTTGGTCCTTAGGCAAGTAGTGAAGTGCTGTAGTCATGCTTCTGCTTCAGAAAAGACTTTGCCTGTGGTTTTATGACGGATCTTGGTAACCCAGGTTGCTGCCAGAAGGGGCGGGTCAGGTCTAGCTACTTTGCTGCAACAGGTTGCCTCTCTTCCTTTCTCTCTGTCCCCAAATTAGCATCCCGTAGGATCCATGAGCTGATTTCCACTCACTGTGCAGCCCACACAATCTCAGGTGCCAACAAGGTAAACTGCAGGTCATCTCCTTTGAGTAACGTGAACTCTTAGAAACCAACAAAAGCCAACTGCAAAACCACACCCTACTGACATTAAAACTAATCGGGCATCTCAGGAATCTGATGTAACACATTATTTAATATACCGTATCAAGACTTGCACGTGTAGGGTGCTGTGATACAGCACCTTGCACATGCAAACCCACTGCTATTTCATTTACTTTTCCGCAAACCATTCTGATGAAATCTGAGAAGCTATCTTGGTAAGGGAACTGAATTCACTGACTTCTTCATTTAAAAACACTGTGGACTTTGGAAACTGTGAGCAGCTTTAGTCACTAGTCCTTTTACAGAGTTTCACATGTTTCTAAATGCAAATGTACACAAAACAATCGTGCTTATACTTACCTCTTTGTGATTATGACTCACATTATTCCTTTCCTAAAATGTTCATAAAAACCAGTACCTTATTAAATGTAAAGCTGTACACAATCCAATAGTCAGGATACTGCCAATGAGTCCTAAATATTTTTAATTTCTCAGAAGTTATCATGTAGCACTGGCAGCCTCTTGACTCTCCTCAACTACTGTTCCTCAACCACAAGTCACTGTATCAGGGCAAAAGTGGCTCCAGACATTACCCAGAATCACCTAGGTTTGAAGTTACAATGAATTTGAGGCCTTAAGGCTTCAAGTTCATGTAACACCTAATCCAAAGCAACTTGGAGTTACTAAGGAGACGATCCTGCTCTCTTTCCGTGCCTCATCTTGCCACCCCAAATTCTTGCTCCTTCTTGATGTCAGAAGATCACACACAGCCTCCTGATTGTTAAAACTGGTAGATAAAAGAGGTGAGAAGACATAAGGGGGGAGAGGGAGAGAGTAGGCAAGGGACCCTTCCATGCTCAGTGGCTGCCTGCAGTTACGCTCTGTAACGTGTAGTCAAAAACATAACACAGGAAGTGTTTAGTTGCAAATAGTAACAAAAAATGGAGATCATCCTACGTAATACTGCTTAATGACTCGTGATATGGAAAAAACCCAACATTTAAAAGGCATTCACAGAACCTGCAATTAGAACAAAAATACAGCACTTCTTGTATTAAGTAGTTAAGAGTTGCTCTGGCAGTCAGAGACTACAGATAACTCCTAGTAATTTTACAGAATGAATCTGAAGTTTAAAATTAAACTATAATAAATAATTTAAATCATAGTTGTGAATCATTTTGCAAGTCTTCCCTTCCTAGAGTATATATGAAAACAAGACATATTTCTGCGTAAGTTGAGGAACAAAGAGCTGCTTTTTGTTATTTTAATAAAAAATACAGTGTTTACACTTATAAACATCAAAACATAAGTGTACATACATCGGACTGAATGTTTTTTCCTAGGTAACTGTGTAAAGGTTTCAAAAATAGTTTGTCACTTTACAGCATTTTTGAAAAGAACATCCTTTGAAAGGAATATATGTCAACAAGTACAGGTAGGAAGAATACAATTGTGGAGACCACAGTGAACAAGATACAGTCACCTGAGCAGCTACGGAGGAGGACAGGCCTTGGGTTCAAATCTCCAACAGGATCTCATCTTTCCCCATAAAAATCAGATTTATGTATTATGGCATACACAATGCAGAGGATCTAAAAGCATAGTTTTGTCCTTAGTATGAGCCTTCTTTGAAGGATTCTGATAGATCTTGATTGGCAGCATCATACTGAGCAATGAAATGTTTGAGTTCCTCAATGCATCGCTCACCTATTTCATGCAAATTCTGTCTCAGGGCAAACTGAATGGACTTCTCTAATGATGGATCTTTATCAATTAGCATCTTCACTACCATGCCAAAGGTTTCACAGTCTTGTCTGTAGACCTAGAAACAACACATTTTAGAAAACCATTAAATGCAAGACTCTTTACATTAGCACACCAACACAGCCCTCATTGAGTTAGAAGAAGTATTGGATTTGATGGGAGTTTCAATTCTAAGATGTATTTGCCTTTTCCTCTTTTCTGATCCACGCTAATACAAATGTATCAAGTTCAGAACTATCTGGATACAAGAAATAACTGTTATTGGAAGAAATGCCTTATAAAGAGAGATTAAATTCCTCTTGCAGCAACATTTAATAAATAACGGCAGAGCAAAGTGCAAATGCTAAACTGGATTTTCATTGCAAATATATGTAAAATTAATTTAACTGAGGCATGCTTAGCAATCTCAATCTTTATACAAAGCATCAACAACTTAGTTTGTAATCTTTCCTAATACTTTAAATACAAGTTGTGTGTAAATAATTTCACCAAATTATGTTTGTTTGTTGGATATCTTGTAGAAGTAGCTTGTAGAAGTCCTTGACAAATATGGCTTTAATTAGTTTGACTGCACTGGTGATTCAATCACTAAGGATAAAAGAAATCCTGGCAGTGGTTTACATGAACCTGTCTGATCTTGTACTGCAGGGAATGAAGAGTTTGCAAATCAGTTATGTACCACGCAGTTAAGGAGAAATAATTTCTCATTATCATTGCAACTGTTTTTCAAACAAACATCTTGCTATGCTCTTAGGCCGTTTTCAAAGCAAGCCAGTGGCCTTTTAATTTTTTTTTTTTTTTTCAGATTCCAGCTAAGGTTATTAATCTAAACACCCATCAGAAAAGGAACTTGTCAAAGTCTCCCAACTGCCAAATATAGTTCATTTTCACACTTCTTCGGCCAGTTTCCTTCTAGAAAATACACTGGCATTTTGAATGAAGATAAATAAGTTTGGTATCTCTGTACATTTTTTTAGGAGGAAAAAAAAAAGCTAAAATGTTGATAGTCCTCAAACTATGTTATCTTTTAGCATATTGAGCTTGTGTTAGAACTTGTTTTTCACAGAGGTGTTTGACCCTTTCCTCTCACATTTATTTATATTGTGGGCACAAATGATACAACTGTATATAAACAATTTCTCATTAATAAAAAGGAAAGAAAAAAAAAAACAAACAAAAAACCCCCCACAACTAAACACCACCACACCGGTTAATTCATAAGGACCAGTCCAAGAGCAACTCAAGCATATTCATGTCAGAGGAGTAGGAAAAAAAAATATTAAAAATTCTGCACACAAATGAAACTATTCTCAGAAACATGATGATTTAACACGATAGCTTTAATAAAGACAGTTCTCAAATGTTTGACAGTATATTCTATACCCATTTTTCAAGCACTGGTTGGCAAATAAAAGAAAACCTTTTGGAAGAAATTCATTTTCAATAGAGATTAAGAAGTCAAAAAGAAGAGTGCAGCCCAAAACAAACCGCAGCTAAACATCTTAAGTGTGGAAACGGAGCGCACATGGCATTTTTTCTGAGAGGAGGTTTATTTCCTGCTTTATATGTTTAGTTCTTTGGTAGTAAAATATCAGCACGAAACACAGACTCTCAGAGTTCATGTTCCACAGCAAGTAAAACATGGTACTTGCTAAGAGAACTTCAAACAGAGCAAACTTGAGTTTCTTTTTTCTGACTCTTTGCAAGGAAAAAGCTCAGGAAGAATTGCTGTCTCTGATTAGCCATATGACAGACAGATGGTATTTCACTTTGGATAATTCGTGCCTTTCAAGTACTTGCAGCATGCTTGCTAGCACCTTCACAGAATGATTTCTGAAAGGTTTTTTCCTCCCCAGAGCCATTATGTTTTGGGGGAAATAGTTCAAAACTTTTTTTTTTTCCTTATCGCATGTCTATTTGTCCTATTTTATCACCTTTGAAGTGGTCAGACCAAGGATGTGTGAATGATCTTCCACGGGTGAAGGAACCTGGTAACTGTCAGTCTTCAGAGGATGCTGTGCAACACCAGTACGGATGAAACCCTGACACAAATAGAGATCACAGACACATCGCCTCGTCTTCTGCACGGGACGGCACTCAAAGCTACAAGTGAAGGAAATGCTCTACTTTTAATTGGTCTTCAAATTAATGGCAAATAGTGCTATCTGCTATTTCTCTCACACATCACAAAGAACTAACCCAGATGAAACTCTCTGACCCTTAGCGTATAAATATCAGCTCAATCTAAGCATATTTTTCTTCAAAACTTTCACAAAAAAAAGACTTGGAGGACAATCAAGAGCACTATCGTTGTCACTGTGTCTGGAGTCAGAAGTTACTTTGCTGTCACCACAATCTGGAAACTAAACACTTTCATACGTGAGATGAACGTTTTCAATACTTTCTGACAAAAGATTTTTAAAAAAATAGAATTGACCTAAAACAGGGGAAGAGGGTGAAGGTGGAGCAGGAAGGCAGCTCTAACTACAGAAAACAAAGGAAACAGCTCGGCTCCTCTAACAACAATTGAGTAATTTTCCCTCAACAAGCTTTCTGCCCCAGCTGCTAATTCTGATCCTCCTGCTGCAATCTGCCTCCTCAATTGTGCTGATAAACCTACTTGTATAGCTGAGACGTACATTGCATCACTGAGATGATCTCTTTTCAAATTACTTCCCCCCAATTAATGTGATTCAGACGTTCAATTCTAAAACCAGATGCATCAGCACAACTGAAACAACTGTGAGCCACAGTCGTGAAGTGGAACCAACCTCATAAACCAGTTTATATCTGAAGCCAGTGAACGATCACCAACCTTCAGAGAGAAGTTACTATGCTTTGCTGAAGAGAGGAGAGACTATCAATTACAAAAATATCAATTACAGAAGAATATTAATTACACCTTAATTAACTATTTGAAAAAGATTGTGAAAGCACACAAAGCTCTTGAAAAAATGGATGGTGGCATGACATATTAAATTCCATCTTCTCCAAAGAAGAGAAGGAGGCCATTTCTGGAAAATAAGCAGAGAATGTAATGCTTAAGGAAGAAAGAAAACTGCAGAGAAGACTCCAAACAAGCAAAAAAGTTCTCAGTTGGAGAAGAATACTGGAAGAACTTGTGACCCCACAGGGTCTGAAAATATCCCTAAATTCCAGCTGATATTCATTTTGAGCTCAGACAATGGAACGCTCATCTGTAAACATCTGGAACTAAAACCTGAAAATGATTCCATGTGTGGGGAAAGAAGAAATAACGTTTTTATATTGAAAAACAAGAAAGGGAATGATACCAACGACATGATTATTCTGTCTGATATATACGTCAGGTAATCCTGAAAACAGCTAAAGCCATAGGGTGATCATTACCAAGGCCACAGCATACTTGTATTCTTTGACTTAAGCTACAGCACCAGCATAATGGAAAGAACGTGTACCGCTTTAGTAAGCAGACGAAGGAGAAGCAGAAACAGCTGTTCTATTCCCAAATATATATTTATATTTATCTTATATATATACACACACAGAAAATATATATCTATAGGCTTGATTTTCCTAAGTATATGAGCTGAATTCAGGTTCTCTTTGAAGAGTTTCCAAAATCAGCACATCTGGCATCTGTGAGGTCAGAGGATCACAAATATGCCTACTTTTATATTTTTCTCATGGCATTTTAGCTCTTTGTATTCTTACATGACAACAGCATAAAAGCTCTGGCTGAGATCAACTCCTCACTGCGCCAGTCTCTGTACAAAGCACTCGCGCTTTGTCTGGATGCGAATCTAAGGGTGTGATGCACCTGCAACACGTTAGTGAACACTCATATATTTGAGAAAACTAAACCAAAATTTGCACTTAGAACTGCTTAAATAATAGCTAATAGACATTTACTTCCAGATCTAGCTAGAGCAATAGAGATGTTAGTCCCCCAGGTGGGAGGCGATCAAGCCCTAGAACTCACCAGGCAGAATCAAACAAATTTTGAGAACTCCCCCATCTGTGTCTGTGTGAAGTTTTCACAGTTAACCTCAAAGCGACATCAACAGTGACTTAAATTACAATGTATGATACTGACGTGAAAGCGATGAAGCATACCACAAGTTCTCTTCTTCCAGCTCAGCTTTGGGACATTAACTTCTGATGAGGAAGAAAGAGGGGCAAAAGCAAGCACATGGGGACTACTCATGTCTTCGACTGCTGTACCTCTCCTGCAATGACCATCTGAAAACGATCTTGGCTTAAACCAAAGCAAACATGTGAAAGGCTCAGCTGACAGGTGGAAAACACCATCACCAAAACTTTGTTTTACATCTGAACTCTGGGCGTGGATGAAATTACACCTAGCTAGGGAATATCTTGATGACGTGTCTACTACTCTCTGACAAAGCCTGCATCATTTCCTTTCTCTGTCTGGCACAGCCCCATGTTCTTCTCCAAAACTGCTCCAGAGCTGCCCATGTATTTTGCGCAACAGAGCTGTTGGACAACATAAATAGTAATGAGAACAAAAACTAGAACTTAAGATGTCCTCTCTTGCAAGTGACTACCGTCTGCAAATGAGTCGGAAGTTTTGTCATCTTGGTTTCAAAGTCTTGCATACCTGGCCAAAAAGCAGTTTCATTTCAACAGCCGGAGTAGACACAATATTCAAAGGTGATGAGGCCAGGAAAAACAGAGAAGTTAAAATGGAGATATTTGCAACCTTTCTTTCACTCCATGGTGGTTTCCCCAGCTTACCTCTACAGTCTGTGCAAAGAAAGGCTTTTTAACTTCTCAAGGCAATTCAGAACAGCTAAACCTACAGCTCCTGCTCTAAGCTGCCTCTGAGGAAGAGGGAAACGATAGAGCAGCTCCCCAATAATTGGAAAGACCCTCAAGGAAGACTGGTCCCACCAGGCTACAAGTTAGCCTCTGCATCTCCCATGTCCACAGCTGGCAGAAAGTACAACTGAGTAGCAAATGGGAGGTGCAAATTTCTCCTCTCTGTCTCAGAAAGGACTCAACTGAATCTTCACTTCTAATTTCTAGGAGAATTGTTCTAATGAATGTGCTTTGTTT